ATCTCAGGGGCTGCCACAAAGAAGAGGGAATCAAGCTATTCTCCAAGGCACCTGAGGGCAGGACAAGAAGCAATGGGTGGAAAACTTAATCAAGGAGAGAAGCAGCCTAGGAGGAGAAATTTCCTGACAGAACAATTAATCACTGGAACAACTTGCCTCCAGAAGTTGTGAATGCTCCAACACTGCAGGATTTTAAGGAGATGTTGGATAACCATTTGCCTGGTGTAGGGTTTCCTGCCTAAGCAGGGGGTTGGACTAGAAGACCTCCAAGGTCCTTTCCAACTCTGTTATTCTACTCTAAATGGGAACAGTGGAGTTCCAGGTTTCCTGCAGAATAGCGTGGAATTGTGACTTCCTGGGAAATGGCGTTTCTCTGGCTGCAGCCCCAAAGGACGAGGCTCCTCACCACCTGGTTTGAAGTAAGTGCTGCTTATTTGGAAGTTCCCGAGACGGGTAGCGGCTGCCCTGCCGCTGTGAGTGTGCACGTGTGTGTGTGTGTGTGGGGGTCTCCTTTAGGCTACCTCTGGAACCTGCAGAAATGGCTGCCTCCTGCCTCTGGGGGTTTTGTGTCAGCTGCACATGGGCTAGGCAGTCATTCTGGCTGCTCCTTCCGCTGCGCCCTTACAGAAAAGACTGAAGCGGCCGCCTGCCCGTTCAGCATGTGGTGGCACAGGGACCATCGGGGGCTTGGGGGGAAAGGCTCAGAGAGAGGCCACCTTGGGACTTCTCAACGGAACAACTCTTTATTGATGCTCTTTATTGATGGGATGGTCTGCAAAGGTAAGGACACCTGGGCTCCTCCCTCCCAATCAGCAGACGGTCCTGGCAGGAGCCGCTTGGGGAAGGGGGGGGTGTCTTCTGAAGCTCCGCTTTCTGAAAAAGAGCCAACGGGAGTCATGGGAAGCCTCGTCTCCTCCTGCTGCACCAGGGGGCGGGCACTCATCCTCCTGCCTGCCTGCCTGCCTGCCTGCCTGCCACAGGTTCCCTGCAAGACAAGCACGCACCCCTTGGGGTGCTGTTGAGCTGGGCACTGCCAAGCTGTGCCTACCGCCTGGCTTTTCCGGACAGGAGGACCTGGACAGGGAGGAAGGCCTGCAGCAGCTCTTCAGGGGGGTGATGGCGCTTGGTGAGGACAAAGAGCCTGAACTTCTCCATCCGAGCAACTTGAAATTCCGTCTCTGCATATTCTGGTCCGTCTGTTGGCCTCAGTAAGGAGTGATACCTGCCCAGGACAGAGGAGAAGGGAGTTGGCCCGGCCATTCCTGGCAGGGTTGGGGCCACCAGCTGAGAACAAGGTGGTGCACCCTGAGGGAGGGGTTGGCTTGCAGCTTGCGGTGCCGTCTCAGGTGGAGAACATCCTGTGCTGCAGGTGGGGGTGAGGCAGGGCAGTCAGGAACAGCTCCATCCCTCGAGACGATCGGTCTCCCCGGGTGTGACTGGGTGAGGGTGGAAAACCTCCTTCAGTGGGGTAGCGATGGGTCAGCCTGTCAACCGAGGCCTCAAAAGACGAGATGGGGAGCCGGTGAATTGCAAGGCCGGCGGGACACTCGTGCTCCCACCCCTCCTCCAGGGAGTTAGGGTTAGGGGTCTGGAAGTGCCTTGGGTGAGCTCAGCTTGGGGGGAGGGGGGTGCTGTCGCAGCACTACAAAGCTGGAAGGGTTCCAAAGTTCTGGGGAGACGATCACCCCCCCCCCCAAGGAGAAGAGCACTTGCACCTGACCTGCATTCTGGTCACAACAAAGCTTTAAACCGGAAAGACCCAGCAGGGCTGCATTCTTACAACTCTCTAAGCTTGGGTGGAGCCGATGGTTTGAATCCTCTGCTGCTTAGCACGTAAGGCCAGGCCAGCTGGTTCCCCTATGACGTTCTTGTAAAGCCATAAAGTGGTTTGATTCTGTGGCTGTGTTGCATGAATGCCACCCCTCACGGCATCTCTGGGCTTATGGGGCTAGATGATTTTCCTTGATCCGTGGGGACGGTTGGCCTCCTTTCTGAACCTCTTCAGAGTGCCAGTGGCTCCGTTTTTGGAAATGGCCAGAATCACACAAGCCCATAGAAATTGCGCTTGTCTCAGAAGAGCTGTGGCCCCTAATGGCCCCGGAAGCCTCAGACTGACGGCCACGGAGGGCGACCGGGAGGGTTCACAGCTGCTGCTAGGAGACCCCCTGCCCCATCCCAGAACCCCAACGTCTGTTTCTCGAACCCCACGGCCAGTGATTGCCCCTCCGCTCTTCAGATGACTTCCGACCGCCCCTTCGGTGGGTTCTCAGGCCTTTCACCTCTCACTCTCCAGGATCTTCTTGCTTAGCAGAGCCTGAGTGAGGCCCGTCTCCAGCCGTTCCAGCTGCTTTTTCACTGTGTCAAACATGTCCAGTTCCATCATGTCAAAGACCAGAGGCTTCCCATAGCTGCTGGCGATGGGTGGACAGAGCCCGGGGGGGGGGGAGGGAGAAAGAGAAAGAAAGGACATAGCTGGCCATTGGCCGGAAGCCTCCCACCCCACCGCCAGTCTCACCAAGCCCACCCTTGTCATCGTTTTCTGGCCCATCCGCTACCCTGCTACTCCTCCCACACTAGGCCTGGACCAGCGCTCCATTAGAGGGAAGAGCCTCCCCCCATGGCAGAGCCCTACCGAAGGGACCCCAGCAAGGCCAGGCGGATGGCCTCCACGGCCATGTCGGCGGGATTAGCAGTGTTTAGGTAGTTGGTGTCACGGTAGCGCAGAAAAATGGCTGCTTGCCCAGAGGGGTCGATGATCAGGGGCCACCTGGAGGGAGGGAGGGAAGGAGAAAGCTGGTGCTGGGGCCGGCCATCTGCCGGTGGAGACCAGGTGGCTTCCTAGGGAGGGCTGCCACTCCCAAGGGAGGCTCCCTCCCGCCACTCACCGTCCGTCGGCCTGCATTTTCCCACCCACGTCTTTCATCAGCACATCATCCAGTTCCTGCACGGAGCACTTGAGGCCTGGCATCTCCGAGGGCGACCCTGCCAAGGCAGAGCAGAGCAGTGAGGGGCCGGCCGGGGGTTGCCTTCCACACTTCAAGGGGAGCACAGCAGCGCCCTACTCCTCGGGGCCCTCTCCCCAGTGCCTGCCAGGGTTGCAGAAGCTGACTGGCTCCCTTTCTGGTGTCCAGCCACACCTGATGTCGGGATGCTAAATCCACTTCCTCCTTCTCCTCCCCCTTCCCCAACTCAGCCAGGGCAAGGAGGTCCCCTGCTTTCCTCTTTGGGGCAAGGTCACTCGAGATGTGAAGGATGGTTGTGAGACAGAGGCAGCCCAGCCCAAGCCCTGGAGCCTCTCTGGAGGAGCTGGGGAGGATGGCCTCGCCCCTTGCAACCGCCATCAGCCGCCTCACTGACCCTCCTGCATTTGCTCTCGCAGCTTCAGGCGGACCAGGGACAGCTTCTCCTCGGCCGCCTCCGCAGCCACGCGCAGCTTCTCCACCAGCCCTTCTGCGTCGGCCACGGCCTGTCCCAAGAAACACCTTTGGCTAGAAAGGATGGGCAAACCTGGCCCAAGAGAGTCTTCCCTTGCAGGGCAAAGGGTGAAATGGGGCTAGCCTCAGCCTCACTTGGTTCCCCTGGGGCTGCCTAGGGGAGATGTTATTTGAAGTCCAGGGTGTCCTGTCCACAATTGGCACTGAACTGTTAGTCACTTACAGCTGTCCTTGTATTTGCAGGTATCTCCCCCCCTCCCCCAAGAAAGAATTAGCCACAGCAATCCAGTACTACTTCTGAATTCTCGAGGAGGCCTGCAGATGGGCCGACTGGCACCTGGGCACCTGCATCCCATCTCCCAGCTCCTTGGCAAATACAGAGGGCTGCCCGGCTGGCCTACACTGCAGACAAAATCTTGCCCTGGCAGAGAGTCACAGCCTGGCAATTGGCAGCACACTAGCAACCCTGAACGGCCCGTGGAGGGCACCCAGGAAGGGAAGTGGCGCTCACATGCAGGGTCAGCTCTGTGTTCCCCATCTGCTTCCGCTGGCACTTGTCGTGCTCCGTTATCCGTCGGTTGAGCTCCGCGTAGGCCTGCTGCAGCTGCAAAAGGAGAGAGGCCCTGTGCCTGGGAAGGATCACGTGGATGAAGCCAAACCTCTGGGGGTCACTGACAAGGCCACAGGGAGGCCAAGGCCCCAAGGCCAAGGATGACGCGTGGTGGGCTCGGTCGGGATGGTGGGCCAGAGAGGCTCCCTGGCACGGAGGAGGCCTTGGCGCTCACCTCCCTGCTGCATCTCTCGTGCTCCTTGGCCAGCTGCTCCACGGCTTCGGCGGTCCTGTGGGGACCAAGAGGCGTCAGGGGCCCCTTTGAGCAGCTTGTGAGGATGACATTTGCTCTCCCCACCCCACCCCACCCCGGTCTTTCTGCTTCTCCAAAGGGCCAATCCCTTTGCAGTGGGACCCCACTTGCCCTGAAGAGCAGAGCCTTCTTGGACATCCGGGTTCCCTCAAGGCTTCTTTGAGTGTCAACTCCCCCCCCCCACACACACACACATACATAGACACTCTAAGAAAGAGGGACTAGGCCGTCTTGTGGGCTCCCTTTGCTTCTGTGCCACTTGCTCTGCTCTGCAGACGCAGCAAAGCTTACAATAAAAGCAGCACAATAGATAATCAAACACTACATTAACACAATGTAGATTAAAAGAGGGGTGGAGAGAGAGCTCCCCCCCCCGCAAAAAAAGAGTGGGGGGGGGACTCTTCTGCCATTTATCCTGAGTTTCCACAAACCTCTCTAAATTGCAGCAGGGGGAGGGGGAAGAGCATGGGGGGAGACTCCGGGCTGAGCCCAGAGAAAAGCCGGCATTGGTCTGTTCTCAGGGACCAGCCAGGACTCCCAAGGGGGCAGACGACCTGGAGCCTGCCCAGCACCTCTCGACTCTGGCTACCAGCCAAGGGCAGCTGTGCAGGCAGCTGTCCTGAGGCCCCCTCCCCCCCCAACACTGCTCCAGGAGAGGCGCGTGTGCAGTTTCCTTGAGGAATGGATGGCCAGAGACACCCCCCCCCTCTCAAGCGGCGGAGCTCTCTTGCAACCCAGTTAATCCTGAGCCCAGGAAGCTCTTGGCCCTTAGCGGGCCCCCATCGCACCTTCATAGCAGGAGTCATAACCAACTTCTCCAGAGCTGGATGTGCAGGACAGGTATGGTAGGTCCTCTGCTGCAGAGTGGCCACCCCACCCCAGGGGTTTCCTCCGGCTGCCAAGAAACTAAGGCTCCCAAGCTTTGTGGGTGGGTGCAATGTTTCAAGGCCAGCCCTTCCCAGGGAACCATCTCTCAGGAATGGCCCAGCTCAGGATCCTTCCGCACACCCCTTCTGAAGTTAGGATCAGGGGACTCTGTTACCAATCCTTTCTTGGGGATGGGTTCAGTCACTCCTCAGCGAGAGACAGTCGTACGCAATTGGCATCCATAGTGCACAGAGCACAGTTAAACGGGTGCAGTTTGAAGGCGGGGAAAGAAGAGGCAGAAGACCCTGCTTCATCAGGCCCTGGCGGGGGGCGGGGGAGGGTGTCAAAGCTGCAAAAGGCTCTGGGGTGGGATCAGGGCTAAAATCCCCTCCCAGCCACACCCAGCTAAAGAACAGCTTACTCAGGTCCTGAGGGGGAGCTGATGCCCTTCCGTCCTCCCTGCATTGCTTGGGCTTGAGGGTGGTCGGCCACCCCCCTTGCTCCACCAGGCCAACGGCAGAGCGATTCTGGAGGGAGAGCTGAGTCTCTAGGGTAACGGCAGCAGTGGCTGGCCATGGGAGAGACAGACCTGCTCCATGAGGCCGTCCCGAAGAGCCCCCAGGTGCTGCTCCCTCACAAGTGCTGCAGGAGGGGTGGGGGAGGAAGGCACTCACTGGCGCACTTCGGCTTCCTTGTGCCTCTGCTTCTGCTGGGCTCTCCGCTGCTGCTCAGCTTCCATCTTTTGGAGCATGGTGTCTGTAAGAGTTACGTCCCAAGCATTCAGGATAGCCACCACACTGTCCAGAGAAGCAACCTTGAGAGGAACAGCAGAAGGCCACATCCTGAGACGCTCACAAGCAAGACTGGTATTCTTGATGACTAACAATTGGGAGTAATGTTTCAAGGGGACCACGGAAGAGAAGGCTCTCCTGCTGGAGCCCAGCAGCTGGAATTCCTTGGCTGGCGGAACCCGTGGCATGCCTCCTCTGCCAACACGAGTGGGGAGGGCCCGTCCCATAGGGTGACCATGCCACGCGGGGCTTTAAAGGTGATCACCAAAACTTTCCCATTACTCTGGCTTACTACTTTTCATGCTTGGCATAACGCTGCTCACCTGGCCTTTTCATGAAGGCAGCTTCACCCCCCCCCCCCCAAGACTGCAGTGGAGGGGGGGGGAGGAGTTCCTTGAGGGCAAGAAGACTAAGTATACCTGCTCTGGTGTGTTGCCATCATCGGCATAGAGTCGAGGGTCAGCCCCATGCTGTAGAAGCAGCTCCACCGCTGCCAAGTGTCCTCCGAAGGCTGCTCGGTACAAAGGAGTCCGATTAAAGGCACCCTAAGAAAAAAGAAAGAGAAGAAAGAAGAAAGAAAGAGAAGAAAGAGAGAGAGAGAGAGAGAAGAAAGAGACACAGAGAGAGAAGGGAGGGAGGGAGGGAGGAAGAAAAGAAGGAGAAAGAAAGAAAAAAGAGAAAGGAAGGAAGGGTTGTGCCAGTCACATCGCTTGTTAGGTGAACTGCACTGGGTGAGAGATATAGTACCAAATGGGGCATCCTGAGGCCATCTGGGTGCCCAGTCAGGTAGGATTTAAAGCAGGTGGTATTCAGCCAGTTCGCACCAGTTTCGGTGAACCGGTAGGGGAAATTTGGCCTGGTTCGCTGAACCAGTAGTGACCTCTGGCTGGCCCTGCCTCCCATCCAGTCACCACTTGTTCACTCCAACCACTTGCTCCATCTGCCCACCTGCTCACCCTTTCCAGGCCATGCTGTCTGTGGCCTAGCTTGCTACGCGCCCCCCCCCCCTCCGCTGCTGCCGCCACCACCGCCATCCCAACGTGGCTTTTTCAGTGGCTTTCAAACTGAGTTTTCCTGCAGTGGCAGCTCTGGGCGTACGCTCTATGGTTGTACGCTCTGCGAGTATGCTCTGCCGGCAGCTGACTCACAACCATAGAGTGTACGCCCAGAGCGGCCACTGCCGGAAGATTTGATTTGGAAGCCGCCAAAAAAGCCATGCTGGGATGGCGGCGGTGGCAGCGGAAGTGCTCTGGCTCTGCGGGGAGAGCTGGGCCAGGACATCATGAGGCTGGGAGGCGCACGAGCAGGAGCAGAACAGCCGCTCGCGCAACCCCCCTTTCCAGCCATGCAGAGCGCCTTTCACTGGCATTTCAAAGGTGCCAAGCCGCGAGAGCCAGGCGTCAGTGAACAGGAGCTCACGCGGCTTGGCGATACCCCCAGGTCAGTGAGTGGTGCTGTGCCTGGCTGGAAAGGGGGTTTGCCAGGTGGCTGCTCGTAAGCGTGGTCGCTTCATGGCTGCTGTGACAGCGCAACACAGCCGTTAGTCCCTGAGGCTGTGGCCGGCTCTTTGGGAGCCCGCTTGCAAGAGAGCAGCCGCCCGGCATCCCCAGAACAATAAGCCCTCCCCCTAGATGTAGCACTCTTAAAGAGGATAATTATACCAGATTAAAACGACAAATAGCAATCGATTTGGAGAAATGGGGAAACTTGCATTTATCAATGATGGGAAGAATTTCTACAATTAAAATGAACATTCTACCTAGAATTTTATATCTGTTTCAGACAATCCCAATTAGACTGGGTAAGGATTTTTTTCTAGACTTAAATAAAATAGTTTTGAAATTTATTTGGCAAGGGGAAAAAAGCTAGAATA